AGCGGAGCTGCCGTAGAGAAATGAAAGAAAATGGAGTGGGATGGTGGGTGCAGACCTACCTTTCTATCCTATGCTTCGACGCGCAAGAAAGGGAAGCGCTGGCTTTCGTTTTGCAGCTTCTCAGGTATATACAGTATGTTCCATCACAAAGCCCATCTCGACCTGATGTGTCCCGTATCATACTTCTCCCTTTGCACCCTTTCTTTATGCACCAAACTATATTATCACAAAAAGTCTCGCCTGCCTCTCCCTCACGACGCATAACGGGTGACTCAGGGCGCCACGGGCGAGAAGCGCTTCATCGAGCCATTGCAGGGCGTGGCGCGGTCGCCGCGCTTGTGCGCCCTGCCCGACGACAAGACGCTGGCGGACTTGTCGGAGGCACTCTTCGACACACGGTATCTCATTACAGAGAACTTCTGTGAAGGAGAGTTGCCCAAGAGCTCCAAATACTATGTCACTTGGTGCAACAAAAGCAAAAGAGAGGCGCGTTAGACTGTCCGCTTCGGGAAGAAACAGGCCTTAGTTATTAACTTTGGTTACTTGTTTTTTTCCCGTCTAGTTGGTGTTCCATGTGCAAGAGTATATGGAGGCTTGTGAAAGTGGGTTCCTCGTTTTTCGCAACTCGATCCCACCTCCAAAACCTCCCATTCCCACAGCTCTCGGAAGTGTTCTTTTCTGACCATTTCTTTGCACTTGCCGAGTTCGGCCTCCTTCAGGACTTAGGGGCTGCGAGCAACGGAGGAGCTGGTGCCAGCTGGAAAATTGACTACGCGTCGGCCGCCAGCTTCGCGAGCATCCCACTGTATCTTGACCGGACGCCTGATGAGTTGGGAAATAGTTGGCAAAGCCCAAAATGCAATTGGAGAAATCAAGAAAGCAGAGAACCGCCCAGTGCCAAGTGCCAGCCACTAATTCTGATGAGCGCTTCGCTGGAGAAGGCTTTGGCACAGCATACGCACCAAGCAATGCCCCCGCAGCAGCAGAGCGCGTAGGCCCCGCAGCACGCGCAGATAGACGCCAACCCGAAAGCAATGTAGAAAAAGATGATTCCAGATGATTCCACCAATCCTGCAGACACGACCCATGGGACTGCCATATATGCCTACATTGACCCCTGGAACCACCCCAATGTAGGCAAATATGGCATGCGTGGAGTGTCTGGGATTGAGAAGTGTGTAATAATATAGGTGCTTCCACTACAAGGTCGTTGCCGTACTAGGAATATGAAGTTTACGGACATGTATTTGAAAGCAAGGCCAGGGTGTTCTTTGGTTGGCTAGCGCAACACGGACAACTCGAGGTTCACGAGTTTGTACCGCGACCGTTGCGTCACCTTCGACGCCATCTATGCCTGGGAAGCGGAGCCAGCAGCGAAAGACTGGTGGGAGCCGGTGCCCGACGAGGAACGCGCGAAGATTCGCTTCTACAACGCTCCGGTGGAGGAGACCGTGAATCCAGGTAACCGGCCTTCTTGGGGACCCAGGGGTCCCAAAAGGATTTTTCTTTAGAGCTTCAGGAGTTTCTGATATGTGCACTTTTTGCACTATTATCACTAATTTGGCCCTCTGAAAAAGTAGACATACGTTTAAACTGTGTTTCAGGTCATTTTCATACACATCGAACCACAGTTTTGGAAAGAATCAACAGGTAGTAAGTGAAAGATACTACGACAAAATGAAAAAAAACAGTTAAAGTAGTTTTCAGGATCTGGTGGAAAGGGAAGCTTGTTTATTGTTAAGGACAACATATTGCTGCAAATGATCGATTATGGCAACCTAGTAGGCAGTTGAAAAGGAAATTGTTTGTTTAGAGTGTTTTTCCTCGGGGTACCCTGTATAAAGACGCGTTGAATTCTTTTGAAAGGGTGTCATTAATCGAACCGCTGGCAACGCTTACTCTCAAATTAACGTACTCACTCAGGAGAGGTGGCTATCTCAGGGTATCCCATGGTAAAGTTGTTATCTCGCTCACGGCCTGATTTGCAAATTAACACAAAGGGATTCTCAAGTTCTGTCTTGAGTCTTGAATGTCTTTGCATGCAAAGGGTAGTTCAGGCAATTTGAGGCTCAAGTAAGTGGAGTGCATTCCTGCTCTCGAGTTTGCAGCATGGCGCAGCAAAATGATGATGTTGTGGGGAGTTTGCCCATGACCTACCAAGAGGCATGGGACCATGTGCTGGCTGTAAATCCAAGCCTTTCAACTGCACAGGGCTTCTTGGATGATAATGATGGAAGGTGACTAGCAAAACAATCTACAAAAACAGGGGCTGGGCCAGCTGTTTGTCTGCCAGCTGCTTCATTCTCTGGCAATCTAAGGTCGAGCCATGCGAGGTGGTGATGTCAAATTTATGGAGGTGTTTGGTGGAGTGGGGTCCATTGCTGGGGAGCATGTCTTTGATGTGCGCAGGAATGCATTGCACAATATCCATACTCGGCATGGGCTAAAAAGTCTTTTGACTTTGCTCTTGATGGTGGAGCGCTTTGGGTGCTGCTTTATTGAACCCACATGTGCCTCTTTTCTATCCTTTGTTTCCCGACACAGCTCGGGCCGCACCAAGGAAGCAAAGGGTTACAAGAATTAGACTCATACCTCATAGTACCCCTGCAGGAGAACGTCTTGGGCAACGGGTCTCGCTTTGTAAAGCATGGAAATTCAACAGCCCATATCATTGGCAAGATTCTCATTCCGATCTGCGAGCTCCTCTCCATTTATTGGGTGGTGGAAAACCCGGTGTCTTGTCGGGTCATCTAGGGAGGGGTGATGGTGTGTTGGCATAGGATTGTATATTGTTTCAAGATTCTTGGGCATCAAATGTTCAATTGACTTGCCCGCTGAAGGGCCTTGTTTCACAGCGAATATTGAAAGATATTATGTCATTGTTGTCATGTGCTAGTCAAGGGTTGCTAGTGACCCCTGTTCTGAATTCCTGATGAAAAAAATTGGGAATAGTCATACTAGGGAATAGTGCAGACCCTCTAAGAGCGCGAGATCTACTGCAACTCACAATAAGACAGCGCCGAGATCTACTGCAATTCACAATAAGACAGCGCCGCAGCAGACCAGCCGGCGACCACCGGCGACCACCGGCGCCCACGCAACCGCCAGACCCTCTAAGAGAGCGAGAGCTACTGCAAGTCACGGCGCCCACGCAACAGCCAGACCCTCTAAGAGAGCGAGATCTACTGCAATTCACAATACGACAGCGCCGCAGCCGACCACCGGCGACCACCGGCGCCCACGCAACCGCCAGACCCTCTAAGAGAGCGAGATCTACTGCAAGGCACAATACGACAGCGAGCGCCGTCTCTGTGATGAGTGGTGTGTGAGGTGTGGTGTGGTGAGTGGTGTGGTGAGTGGTCTGTGATGAGTAGTGTGTGATGAGTGGTGTCAGATGAGTGGTGTGTGATGAGTGGTGTGTGATGAGTGGTGTGTGATGAGTGGTGTGTGATGAGTGGTGTGTGGTGAGTGGTGTGTGATGAGTAGTGTAAGATGAGTGGTGTGAGATGAGTGGTGTGTGATGAGTGGTGTGTGATGAGTGGTGTGTGGTGAGTGGTGTGTGATGAGTGGTGTGTGATGAGTCGTGTGTGTGGTCTCGGTGTGTGTGGTCTCGGT